GGAAAGATTTCCATTGCATGATAATTTTTTCCAGATTCATTAGCAACCTGCAAAAGGGAACAAAGATAAAGCATGAGTGGTCACTAGTACTCACTGAGTACCCAAAAAAAAACAATTAATGCTAAGAAAATTCCACAAAATAAACTTTTAGTTAAGATATTTTTTATTTATATAAAAAAGGTATTTATCCGATTGGAGGGTTGCACACCATTCAATACACATAAATACGTCAGCCGTTCGAAAAGGCTCTCCGATATATCCTCTCTCACAAACTCCCTCTATTTTCATTATTCTTGTGTTCAGAGGCAATATCTACGTGCGGTTGGGTGCACCGTATTCTTATACGAAGATGAGATTAAAAAAAAAAGTTTTGGAATCTAAGTATATAACCTAATGGAACAAATGCAAAAATAATTTAGTACAACCTCCAATCGAATTGTGAAAGTACTATAGAATCGATTCCCATTAGAGCCGAATACGAGTTTTTGTTCCACTTTAAATTTGATCCTAAACTGAATTTTTTTTTTTTTTTTAAATCTTTATCTGACACGTAGATATTAATCAGCACACGGATGTAGTTTTATCTCTTTGCCAAAAAAAGAGAGTCAAATCCTCAAATTACAATCCTACATAAATGAAAATTTTATTTTTGTTAATCATAGCAAGCATTTACTTTACCCCCAAAACATTTATGGCAATCATTTAAATATCGTGGATAGGTAAATTAACAAATTTTATACAAATGGCCTGTTGTAAATTAATGATTAGATTTTAACTATGGTTTTCAATTTTTTTTAATAAAAAACTGAAATTTTAACTATGTATTTCCATTTATCCTAATTATGAAATTAATAGAAAATGATTTAGGCTCTTAAGTCTTAACTATATTTTCTTGTTCAAAGTTTTTAACTATATCCATATATGATAATATGTACATTGAATCCCTTTGAAAAATACGAAGAGAATTTAATGATATATTTAGACCAAATACACCAGATTGGGTAAATACTCAGAATATACCAATGGATAAATCATAATCTTCACCTAACTAATTAAATTTCTACCACGTACCCGGATTGACTACAAAACCAGAAAAGTACTAATCGTGTACTTAACGATCCGACGGCTAAAAACGCATCGATCGACACGTAGTAGGTGTCCTTCGCCCTAAAATCAACGACCAAGATGAACTCAAGCGTTACTTTGCTGTCGTGTCCGATAACTACCGGATAGATGAGGATTAACACAACAAGATCTAAATTCGGACAAATCGAGCGTAGTCAACACGCGCCTAAATGAGTTCTGATGGTGTAGCGTAAAAAACGTAAACCTAACCGTACCGGATTCCAACTTTCTTTCTTTCTGGATGGGAGCATCCAAGAAGAAGGAGAGCTAGTCTTATATAACGACACGATATCCTCACCTATTTACGCCTCATTTTCTTCTTCACCTCTTTCTCTCTGTGTTCTTGTTGTCTCTCTCTCTCTCGCGCGAAGCGCTTTATCTTTGTCTTGTTTTTGTTTCGTTTTCGTTTTTCTGTCATCGGAGGAGAGATGGTGGCGCCTGCTTTATTACCGGAGCTCTGGACGGAGATCCTTGTACCGATTTGTGCGGTGATTGGTATCGCGTTTTCGCTTTTCCAATGGTACGTTGTATCTCGTGTGAAACTCACCACTGACCTCGGCGCATCGTCTTCTGGTGGAGCTAACAATGGGAAGAATGGATACGGTGATTATCTAATCGAGGAAGAGGAAGGTGTTAATGACCAGAGTGTTGTCGCTAAGTGCGCTGAGATTCAGACTGCTATATCTGAAGGTAAGATCTATTCAAACTTTATTCAGATCTCACTGTTCTGTTCTTAGATCTGGCTCTGTTTTTTGATTGGTGGTTGTTTCATGTGATGATAATGATGTTTTGGAATGTTATAATCCTGAAATTACTTATTTAGTATCTTGTGAAATCTGAAATGATGTCTGTCTCTGAGTGAATAATCATGGGATCTGTTTGGTTGTTGTGGGAACAGGTGCAACTTCATTCCTGTTCACAGAGTACAAATATGTTGGTGTCTTCATGATTTTCTTTGCTGCTGTTATCTTTGTTTTCCTCGGCTCTGTTGATGGATTCAGCACTGATAACAAGCCTTGTACTTACGACATCACCAGAACTTGCAAGCCTGCATTGGCTACCGCTGGTTTCAGTACCATTGCTTTCGTGCTTGGTGCTGTTACCTCTGTTCTCTCTGGTTTCCTTGGGATGAAGATTGCTACATACGCTAATGCTAGAACCACCTTGGAAGCGAGGAAAGGTGTTGGAAAGGCGTTCATTGTTGCGTTCAGGTCCGGTGCTGTGATGGGTTTCCTTCTTGCAGCCAGTGGTTTGTTGGTGCTTTACATTACTATCAATGTGTTCAAGATCTATTATGGAGATGACTGGGAAGGTCTTTTTGAGGCTATTACTGGTTATGGGCTTGGTGGGTCTTCCATGGCTCTCTTTGGCCGTGTTGGTGGTGGGATCTACACTAAGGCAGCTGATGTTGGCGCTGACCTTGTCGGTAAAATTGAGAGGAATATTCCTGAGGATGATCCAAGAAACCCAGCTGTAAGTACATCATTTCACTGTGTGTGACACCTTGCTTTCGTCTTTTTTTTTTTTTGTTAATAGAAGTTTTGACTTAACTTTGTTGGTTATGTTACAGGTCATTGCTGATAATGTCGGTGACAATGTTGGTGACATTGCTGGTATGGGATCTGATCTCTTTGGGTCATATGCTGAAGCATCATGTGCTGCTCTTGTTGTTGCTTCTATCTCTTCGTTTGGAATCAACCACGATTTCACTGCCATGTGCTACCCATTGCTCATCAGTTCAATGGGAATCTTGGTTTGTTTGATCACAACTCTCTTTGCCACTGATTTCTTTGAGATTAAGGTTGTTAAGGAGATTGAACCGGCATTGAAGAATCAGCTCATCATCTCAACTGTTATTATGACTGTTGGAATTGCTATTGTGTCATGGGTTGGCTTGCCGACCTCCTTCACCATCTTCAACTTTGGAACACAAAAAGTTGTCAAGAACTGGTAAGTTCCTTTCTGTATGATTCGTTTTTTTTTTATATAGCATTTCTCGATACAAACTTCTTTTGTATAAGTTTTTTAAGTCTGGCATAATTGGATTTCAGGCAGCTATTCCTGTGTGTTTGTGTTGGTCTTTGGGCTGGACTCATTATTGGTTTCGTCACCGAATACTACACTAGCAACGCATACAGGTAAGAAACTACTTATGTAGTTACTAACTTTTTCCCAGCTAGTATGAAAAACTCTGATGTTCTTGTGGTCTTGCAGCCCCGTGCAAGATGTTGCAGATTCATGCAGAACTGGTGCAGCTACCAATGTTATTTTCGGACTTGCTCTTGGTTACAAATCCGTCATTATTCCAATCTTTGCAATTGCTATCAGTATATTCGTTAGCTTCAGCTTTGCTGCTATGTATGGTGTTGCTGTTGCTGCTCTTGGCATGCTCAGTACCATTGCCACTGGTTTGGCAATTGATGCTTACGGTCCCATCAGTGACAATGCTGGTGGTATTGCTGAAATGGCTGGCATGAGCCACCGCATCCGTGAAAGAACCGATGCTCTTGATGCCGCTGGAAACACCACTGCTGCTATTGGAAAGGTACAGAGCCTTCTCAACCTCTTTCAGCTATCCTCTGAACCAATAAAAGAGGTTGCTTGCCTTTGCTTATGTTGTAGTATGACATGTTATTCTGGTTTGTTGTGCACAGGGATTTGCCATTGGCTCTGCTGCCCTAGTCTCCTTGGCTCTGTTTGGTGCCTTTGTGAGCCGTGCAGGGATCCACACCGTGGATGTTTTGACCCCTAAAGTTATCATTGGGCTGCTTGTTGGTGCCATGCTTCCTTACTGGTTCTCTGCCATGACAATGAAGAGTGTGGGAAGTGCAGCTCTTAAGATGGTTGAAGAAGTTCGCAGGCAGTTCAACACCATCCCTGGACTCATGGAAGGAACCGCAAAACCCGACTACGCCACATGTGTCAAGATCTCCACCGATGCATCCATCAAGGAAATGATTCCTCCTGGTTGCCTTGTCATGCTCACACCTCTCATTGTTGGATTCTTCTTTGGAGTTGAGACCCTCTCTGGTGTTCTCGCCGGCTCTCTTGTCTCCGGTGTTCAGGTAAAGTATTTTCTCAATTCGTTTGTTCATAACTATTCTTAAAACAAATGCTCATTGATACTCTCATTTTATTCTATTCAGATCGCCATATCAGCATCCAACACTGGTGGTGCCTGGGACAACGCCAAGAAATACATCGAGGTAATGGAATTTCTTAAGTTTAAATCAATCCATTTGAAGAGATGAAATCATATCCTTAAACATTGTGATTTATTTGCAGGCGGGTGTATCAGAGCACGCAAAGAGCCTTGGGCCAAAGGGTTCAGAGCCACACAAGGCAGCTGTGATTGGAGACACAATTGGAGACCCATTGAAGGATACTTCAGGACCTTCATTGAACATCCTCATCAAGCTCATGGCTGTTGAGTCTCTTGTCTTTGCTCCCTTCTTTGCCACTCACGGTGGTATCCTTTTCAAGTACCTCTAAACTCAATCTGAGTGGAGAAGATGACGACGATGATGATGAAGAAGAAGATGATGGCGATCGATTCAAAAATCTCTTTTTTACCATTCTTATTTTCGTTTACCGTAGGTGGTTAAAAAACCTTTTTTGTTGATGAGGCTCATTTAAAGAACCAACCAAATGATGTTTCTTTCTCTCTTTCTCTGTCTCTCTGTCTTTTTGTGCTGTCTAGATTTTAGAAATCCACCAAGTATTCGAGACTTGTTTTAGCCGTTACTTTCTGCTGCTTATATTTCTTAAATTGGTTTTGTCTTCTTCGAGACAAATGGGAATTAATTATTACTGTTGTTAAGTCTTTTGTCGTCGTTAGGTGCGGGAAACGATTCTCAATTTCTCATGCTCTGTTAGTTCTTTCAAGACATTTATTACCACAAACAACAAATGGTTTTACACATTTCTAACTAAGACTCTCGAAGAGCCTCTGCTCCAGCCACAATCTCTAGCAACTCCCCAGTGATCTTAGCCTGTCTCGCTCGATTATAAGCCATCGTCAGATTCTTCTTCAATTCAACCGCATTATCACTCGCATTACTCATCGCATTCATCCTCGACGCGAGCTCACTCGCCAAAGATTCCTGCAGTGCTCGTAGAATCTGACTGTTGAGATACAAAGGCATCATTGCATCAAGAATCTGAACAGGGTCTTGCTCAAACTGCATCAATGGTGATATCTCAGGCTTTTCAACTTCAAGTTTGGTCCTTTCCACAGCTAACTTCCCATCTTTGCTCGTTAGCCTAAACATCTCATCCTCCATAGCATCAACACACTCTCCTTTCACATCACAAGACTCTCCTTTCATCGACAAAGGCAACAGAGTATGGATCACAGGATCAGATTTCACCAAAGACACAAACTTTGTGTAAACAAGCTCAACTTTATCAACCTCTTCACTCACAAACAACGAAAAGACATCATCTGCAATAACTTGAGCTTCTTTAGTCGTTGGGAAAACACCTCCTCCTTCAATACATTTATCAACATCGAATTCATCTCTCCGACTAAAATACGCATTCCCTTTCTTACCCACACTAATCACAACACAGTCTATTCCTCTTTGCTTCAACTCTTGAACTCGCATAGTAGCTTTCTTGATGACTGCATTGTTGAAACCACCACACAATCCTTTATCACCAGTAACAACAACTAAAGCAACTCTCTTCACAGGTCTAACAATGCTCAGAGGAAAATCAATGTCTTCCAATTGAGCACATTGATTAATTGAGTAGAGAATCTCCACTAGGGTTTCAGTGAAAGGTCTACCCTTTATGACTGCATCTTGAGCTCGACGAACTCTAGCTGCCGCCACGAGTCTCATCGCCTCCGTTATCTTCTGGGTATTCTTAACACTGTCGATTCGTTCTCGTAACTCTCGGATTCCAGATCGAATTTGAATTGAAGGCAACGGAGACCTCGACGAAATCCGATTAGGGCTCAGTGATTGAAACGGATAATAGCGAAATGGTTTCAAGGTAGCTATGAAAGAGAAGGAATCTGACTTTGAATTCGAATGAGACGACAAGAGCCAAGAGGTCGAGATCGAACCTGTCATTATCGTTTGGGGAAGAAGAGTTAAAGACTCTGAGCTTGAGAGGTTTAAGATTTCATCGTCCCGTGGATGTGGAGAAATGGCTACAAAAGAGAATTTGAGGGGTTTTCTCTAATTATATTGTTTATTAGGGGGTTATTATATAAAATTACTGCAAAATAGAGGTTTTCTATGAAAAAACGAGGGAAATATCAGTAACCCTCCTAAATCCTAGTAAGTTTTAACAAACAGCCAAATTAACATAAAACCAAAAAAATATAACTATAGTCAACAAATAAAACTTCCTTTTTTAAGATTCATATGTAGAAGTCTTCTCTTCTACCAGAAGAAGTTGAACTTTAAAGTAACAAATCAAAATAAAATTATGGACAAGTGAAAAAAACTCTACCCCTTAAGCAAACAAATCTTATAATTGCGGGTTACTTAAACACAAATTAAGTCAAAAATGTAACTACAATTTTCGTTTTAAAGAATTTTAGTTTTGACCTCATTTTTTATTTCCATTATGGTCCTTGTGGTTGTCGTGTATTTCGCATCACCACGTTTTTTTGGGTCAATCAGCATCACCACGTTTAGGTCATGACATGAAATTTATGAGATTCTTTGTGATCCGTTTATTTCGAGGCTCGCATCTTCTTCTTCCTTTAGCTCCACCGCTTCTCTTCTCTACTTCTTCCTCTTCTGTTCTCACATATTACTTAAAGCTCTGATATTTGGAGCTACAACATAACCCCTCTCTCAATCAACACTACTCACAATGCTTCTCCATTTCTCTCCGGCGAAACCCCTTATTTCTCCACACAATCTCCGCCGCAATTCACCCGCATTCCTCGTCTCTCCGCCGCGATCCCTTCGAATTCGAGCAATCGACGCAGCTCAAATCTTCGATTACGAAACCCAGCTCAAATCCGAGTACCGTAAATCCTCTGCTCTCAAAATCGCCGTCTTGGGTTTCGGCAATTTCGGTCAATTCCTCTCCAAAACCCTAATTCGACACGGCCACGAGCTCATCACTCACTCTCGCTCCGATTACTCCGACGCTGCTTCATCAATCGGAGCTCGTTTCTTCGATAACCCTCACGATCTGTGTGAACAACATCCCGACGTTGTCCTCCTCTGTACTTCAATCCTCTCCACAGAATCAGTCCTCAGATCCTTCCCCTTCCAACGTCTCCGTCGTAGCACACTCTTCGTCGATGTTCTCTCCGTTAAGGAATTCCCAAAAGCCCTCTTCCTCAAATACCTCCCCAAAGAGTTCGACATTCTCTGCACTCATCCAATGTTTGGACCCGAGAGTGGTAAGCATTCTTGGTCTGGCTTACCCTTTGTCTATGATAAGGTGAGAATCGGGGACACAGCTTCAAGACACGAGAGGTGTGAGAAGTTTCTAAGAGTTTTTGAGAATGAAGGTTGCAAGATGGTTGAAATGAGCTGTGAGAAGCATGATTATTACGCAGCTGGGTCGCAATTCGTGACGCATACTATGGGAAGGGTTTTGGAGAAATACGGAGTTGAGTCTTCTCCGATTAACACTAAAGGTTATGAGACGTTGTTGGATTTGGTGGAGAACACATCGAGTGATAGCTTTGAGCTTTTCTACGGTTTGTTTATGTATAACCCGAATGCTCTTGAAGAGTTAGAGAGATTGGATATGGCTTTTGAATCTGTCAAGAAGGAGTTGTTTGGGAGATTACATCAGCAATACAGGAAGCAAATGTTTGGTGGGGAGGTTCAATCGTCTAAGAAAACTGAGCAGAAATTGCTTAACGATGGTGTTGTTGTTTCGATGAAAGATACATCATCATCATCTTGAGATCACAAGTTTGTAGGGTTTGATTGGATTATGTTAGATTCTAAATAAAAAAGGTTATGTCTATTTGGAAATCCTCAGTGAAAAATAAAAAAGAGATTTTGGTGTGTTCATATTTTGGCTGGTAATTTTCAAACTGTAATGTATTAATGAACTTATCGATTTTGATAAGATTTTTTTTTGTTTCCAATCATGTATGTGCCTGTTGAAATGCTTATCCCTCCGATCGTCGGGAACAAATACGGTCGAACCGTCTCCTTCTGCGGCCATATTTCCGAACGGACCGAACCCGCCAGTTGTGATCCTGTCTGGCTGTCTCTATAATGATCTCGGGTCACCCACCCGATTCGGATCAGGACAGCATCGGTTCTCTATGGCCCGATAATATAATGGGCCGCTTGTCTCGTTTTGTTTAATAGTCAAAAAGACAAAAAAGAAACACATTTTAAATTTGAAATTGACTCACACGTGTGTTGCTACTATCGCTGGTCGGAGCTTTTCGTCTTCTCCAAATTGTAACCCTAAACACCACAACGACGGCGAACACTGAACAAAAGATGAAACTTTGATCTCGGGTTTTTGCGTCTTTTACTTGCAAAGTTTCGGAAATGGAAGTGATGGACAAATGGGTAGCTGAATTTTTCCTCCGTCGCCAACAAAATCCTAGGGTTTACGCTTCTCCTCTGTTATCGGCTCTGAAACCAGTAGATTCTGACGACTGTCTAAAGCTCAAGGTAACTGCTGTTTTGCGAGACATCTCGAATTCCTTGATTCGAGGTACGGTCGACGAAGGAATGCTTGATCTCCTCGAGATTCTTGAGAAGCTTCTGTTGGAGGAACATTCGGTTATCATGGGGTCTCTCAAATCTGCGTATTGCTGGACTGCTGTGGAATGCACGCTTAGGTTTATGTGGCCAGTGACTGCTTCGGATGGCTTCTTCGGCGACGCCCTTGAGAGGATTTGGAGGAATCGGGTTGGGACATTGAAGGAGAGGGAGAGCGATTTGGTGACTCGTGAGTTGTTAAAATGGGAGAATGATCTAAACAAGGCGTTTGAGAAACCTGAGATTTACCAGAAGATTCGTGAGACTAATATCAGGTACAATGCCATCTCTCATCTCAATCAGCTTCTCAAAGAGCAGTGGGCACTACTTGGGGGTTCCTCTCTTGAATCAGTAGCTCAAAAGAGGTTTCTTAAGCGCAAGGTGAATCAACAAGAACAGGAACATGAGCCAAGTCTTAATAAGGGGGACATGTTGGTAGCTCGAGAGCTCAAGGATTTTTTGTTGGAGATTCAAAGAATCATCGACCCTTCAACAAGGCAAGATCAAAAACCTGACAATGCAATGGACCAGTCAGTTGATGTCACTCCTCAGCCTGATGGGGCAAATATGACCGAAGCAGAAGATAGTGAGGGAACATCATCGTCTAGAAGAGTCCGGCCTCATCTACCAACCCCGGAACCTCTGAATGTATCACCACTGAAGAAAGGAAGATTGGAAAGACCGCGTCCTAGAAGGCCAATGAAATTCTGGACTCCTGAAGAAGTGGCAGCTTTGAGGGAAGGAGTGAAAGAGTATGGAAAATCATGGAAAGATATCAAGAATTCAAACCCTGTTGTTTTGGCTGATAGGAGTGAGGTGGATTTGAAGGATAAGTGGAGGAATTTATTTGGTCGGCAGTAGTAAGAATCTTGCCTGGTCACTTTTGGGTGTTTTTGGGCTTTTTGGTTTTGAGATCTTGTGTAGTTTTTGCCTCGTGTTAGAAAGGGACTCACTTTTTGTATGGTGAGGGGTTTATTGATGATTGAATAGAATATGTACTTGATTCAGCCTCTTGTATTGTCAACCTTTAGACGGGTATTTCTTGTTCAAAAGTCTATTGATCAGTTGATTACAAAATGAAATGATTTTACATATTTGTTCCTATAATCAAATCAAGCAAGCTCTGAAACCCATCTCTAACTCCTCCCGGTTCAAATTTTTGCCGATGAAAACGATCTTGTTGGTTCTTGTTTCATCTTTTCTCCATAACCGGTCTGGTGATCCTTCAAATATTTCATGAACTCCCTGTTCCAACCATTAAAAACCCACAGACGTCAGAGATAATTCAACATCACAAGACTTTAATGCTTTAAGATTCAGCCGAAATGATTTAGTATCAAAATAAATATGGTCACCTGAAACACGAATCTCTCATCCATGTCTTGGACGGAGAGGATACCTTTCATTCTGTAGATATCCTCACTACGTTGGTACAATAGCGCCCCAAGCCACATGTTAGCCTGATCCATTGTCAAAACTGAGGTTAGATGAGGCAGGTGCTAATAGTTTAATGCATCACATGTTACACAACTTAAGCAATTGGGTTATACCTTCTCGAGGTCTAAGTCTCCTTCGCAAACTATACTGACTGAAGCAACACCAGGGTCATGAGTGTGATCATGAGAATGTTGATGCTCTGCAGTTTCAGAAGCAAACTAATCAGTGCATTTAGGCGATCAATATTAAGTAATAAGGCCATTATTTGGTAAATATAACATACCGTGTTCATGATCATGCTCATTGTTGTGATCATGGCAGTCATGACCATGTTCATGGTCATGGTCATGGTGATGACCATCATGACCCTCGTGATCTTCTTTCTCCTCTTCATTCACAGAGCTCTCAATTCTGGAAAGACAAAACAGTTGGCCACCAGCAATAAACCAGAGTAACAAAATCAGTCCCGTTAAACCAGGACTTCCACAACTAATAAAACTTATCAAATGTATGGAGCTACGATACGCTTCGGACAGAAGTTTTCGAAATGACTCGTAATAAGATATTAGTAAGACGTAAAATAAACCGGACCTTTCTAGATCAAACCCTCCAATTCCAAGAACATAATCCAAGTCAACCTTCCCATACTTTGTCCGCTTCATATGAGCCATGCTGTTTATGGTCTGAGAATAATCTTAGCATAAATGTTATAACGCAGAGCAAAGAGAAAAAAAATCAGAAGAAGTAGAATCTACCTTTATCCGCTGCATCACTGAAGCTAGTTCTGGCTCACCAACAAGATCAGTCTGCAACAAAGTACAAACATTTTTCAGCTTGTGTGATATGTGAAGGTAGAACCATATATAGCAGACCATCGAGAAGTTTCTACTACAAGCATCCACCACACATTTCATATACAAATACACTTGTTCATGGTGATGCTAATCATGAAAATTTGGTTGAAATAGAACTTCACAATACCTTGTTAACTATGATACGATCTGCGTAAGCTATTTGTTCTACTGCCTCATTGACATAGCCTTCAGGTTTGACCTCATCTAGATGCAAACGAGCATGTTTAGCATCAACCAGAGTGACAACCCCATCCAGTTTGACATCATTGAAAATTTCATCCTCAGCATAAAAAGTTTGAATAATCGGGGCAGGGTTCGCCAATCCTGAAAGAAATTTATACATAATATAATCACTTATTCTTTAAGAAAATAGTAGTGGTTCGTAAAGAATCATGTAGCTCCAGAGCTTAATTCAACTGAAATGAAGAGTGATAGAAATTTTCGAACCTGTCGTCTCAATAACGATATGGTCGAACCTTCCTTTCTTGGTCTGAACCAATTCAGAAATCATCCTCACAAGATCACCCCTAACAGTACAACAGAGACAGCCATTGTTAAGCATCATTATATCCTCTGCTCCAGCAGTTTTAGCTGCCACAAGCGATCCATCAATGTCGACTTCACCAAACTGAGAATTCACATTTCAGCACGAATTAGAGAAACCATAAAATTTAAAACAATCTCTATTCAACTTCTCAGACACATAGATTAATCCAAAACCTCATTCTCAATCACGGCTATGCGCTTCCCATGATCTCCCGTCAATATATGGTTTAGCAATGTCGTCTGTATATACGCAGCAAAAAACAAAACCCACGAAAATCAGCATTTGCCCACTGAAAAATGAAAATTTTTCTTACTTACGCAGGAATTTCCGAATCATTAACCCTAGATTTGAAAGTAAAGAACAAGCCTAACCTATCCTCACCTTACCAGAACCCAGGAACCCGGTGATTATAGTGGCCGGAATTCGATTGTCGGGCAAAATCTCAGTGGAAACATCGAAGGAATCTTCAGTATCCACAACGGCGAGCGAGGAATCAGAGGCAACGGCGGAGTGGAATCTCCGGCGGCTGTCAGAGTAAAGCGCCGCGGGATAGAACGACGACGGCTTCGTTCTGTAGGAAACTGTGGCTCTCCTGAGCCTAGCAGAAGCGAACCGATGGTTCAACGAGGTATTAGCTCGGGGAACGTTGAAAGCAAGGAAAGTCGTGGCTGTATCGAGTCTGAATTGCGTCGCCATTGTTATTAGGGTTTAAGGTAGCTCGTGAAGGTTCGACATAGAGATAGACATTTGCTTTGTAGCTTCAGAATTTACGCGCTTTTTTTTCTTTTCCGATTCGATCCAACGGTCGAGATTGACACGGGTTGATACTGAGTTTTATGTACTAATTTAGAGCAACATTATCAATGGTCTCTTAACATAACTCTTAAGTTAAGAGACCATCAATAAAGATGGTCTTAACTTATATTATTTCGAAAGAAAAACAAGAACTCATCATTATATTTAAATTGTAGCTCATGAAATCTTACAAAACATATTGATCAGGATAGTTCCTTGCGTGCATGCAAAATTAGATGCAAAACGTGAAGAAGAGCATAATCTTGTTATATAACAAATACTAATAAATTAATAATTCTATGGCGATTATTTCTGATATCAGTTTTGAGAATTTGTTTGTTTAGCAACTGTATTGATATTAATGGAAGATAAGTTGATTAAAATTGTTTCTAAAACAACAAGTACAAATTTCGATTGATTGTATATATATATATTGGTGGTAGCTAATTAGATTTGTTGATTTTTCTTGTTTATGCAGATCCAAAGTTACTCTTCATCATCGCATATATAGTTTTGTTTTCTTTTTTATAAACCAAAAAACTGGGGCTAATGTTAATATAAAGTTTCTTTATTTCAAAACTAAAGTAACATTGGTCCAATGCAGAAAATTAAGTTTCCTATTGTAAAAATGAAATACTATAATTCGAAAATTTGTATAATGCAGGTTGTTAATTATAATTAATTTAGATAGATTAAAAAAAAATGAAACAAGAAGAAAAGAAACAACAAGAACATCAATACAAAATGTAAATAAATCGCTGAAATTTCAAAGCGGGGTCCACGTAAAGTGGGACCTTTAGCCTTCTTTATTCTTCCATCTTATCTCAAAAACGCATTAGATTGTTCCAAACCTAACTCCGTACCTCACTTAGGGTGATTCACCTTACACGTGTCACACGATAGTAGGTTAAGAATCAGGCTCGGCTCACGGCCACTTTGCACATTTCTATACTCTTCTCTCTTTCTTCTTCCTCACCTTCCTTCTTCAATCACCGTTTCGTCAAAATCACAACAACAAAAAAAAGGTTTTGATCAAAGAGATCACTGTTAAACCCCCACAAAATTTCCTCAGGACTAATACTCTGCGATCGATCGTCGTTATGATAAGGTACGTATCATCAGCTTATTCGATCAACTAGCACAACTGTTTCCTGGTGAACAGTTGATTTATATTACTTCCCTTTACTGTTTTTTGATATTAAGCTACTAAATCTCCTTTACTTTTATGCGATTATGTTTGCTTTTGGGTTTCTGGGTTTTACTGTTGGCAATTAAACCCTTCACATAGTGTTGATTCACACTTGTTATGTTATTGTTTGTGTTTGTTTTCATCCGATTTATGTGAGTTTTAATCATTGCATCGTATTTTGAGGAGTTTCTTTAACTGTCTCTTTTGGATGATCATTCGAAAGTAGTGATCTTTGACAAGGTAAATGTGGTTTTTTTGTGTATAAGAACCTGGAAAGTTGAATGAAATACTCACATAGTTTCATGGGGTTTTTGTGAGTTGAATTTTAGACGTGAGTGAAGGATTGTGATCGTGCTCTGTTTCAGTCTCTAGAGAAGATTGATGATTCTGGATTACATTATCATGGGAGGAGCTTGCTCAAGGAAGAGGGATCAACAAGTTGAGGATATTTTAAACAGAGGTGTCTCTGGAAAATATAGCAAGAGTTCAAGTTCGAAATGGTTAGCTACTTCGCTCTCTAGGTCTGGCTCGGATGTTAAACGGAAAAATGGAGAATGCCCGTCGCTTATGGAGCTCTGTATCCGCAAGATACAGGAGGTATATTGTTTCCACTTACCAGGCTCTAATTAATCTATAAACGCGAGCCAAATGTTTGAACTCTGTTACATTGCAGGACATAGATAGATATACCAAGTTCTCTGATCTACCTAGAGATATCAGTCAGCAGATTTTTGATGAATTGGTGTATTCCCAGCGGTTAACTTTAAAGTCTCTTGAGGCATTTCGGGACTGTGCTATCCAGGTAAAGTCCTAGGTTTTTCTCTTGTTACTCATCTCCTTTGTGTTCATATACTATTAGTGTAGTGGATATCTTTGGCCGACTCACAGTTTGTGAAAGCAGGATCTTTACTTGGGGGAATATCCTGGAGTTAATGATGACTGGATGGATGTCATTTCCTCGCAAAGTACATCGTTGCTTTCTGTTGATTTTTCGGGGTCTGATATCACAGACTCTGGACTGGTTTCTCTAAAAGGTTGCACAAACCTGGAATCCTTGAACTTTAATTTCTGTGATCAGATATCCAACCGTGGGCTCGAGCATCTCAGCGGTAAACTTTGCTCATTTTTAGACATTTCTTTTATTTTCTGCTTAAAGAGGTTTTCCTTGTACTTTGTATGTGGATGTTTCCTAAGCGTAGCTGCTACGTTATAGTTATACCTGATGCAGTTACTTTCATTTGTTTGATGAATTTTATTCCACTTGAATGATAACTGTTCGCAAACAACTTCAGGCCTCTCAAATTTGACAAGCCTGAGCTTCAGAAGGAATGCTGCAATCACTGCACAAGGCATGCGTGCGTTATCCAACTTGGTTAACATGAAGAAACTAGATCTTGAGAAGTGTCCTGGGATTCACGGTGGGCTTGTTCACCTGCGAGGTACATAGCTATGTGTTTCATTGTGATCATTACCAGTTTTATGACATTTCTGTTATTGAGAGCTTCACATGATATGTGCACACTGATGAATCGATCCAAAGCCAGATAGTTTATGATTCAATATATTTCTACAACCTGAAGACTTTACAATTTGGGTATTGGTTGGGAATTTTACTTGGAAAATGCTGATATCAATTCTGCATCCTATTTTTCCACTTAGCTTCATCCCATTTAGCTACTCTGCACTTTGTTGTCTTTTCCAGACTTAACCAAACTAGAGTCCTTGAACATAAAGTGGTGTAACTGCATAACGGATGAAGACATGGAGTCTCTCTCAGGTAGCAAAAACATGCATCTCCTTCGCATATTTTCTTACTTTTCCCAATAGATGTGCTTACTCCTTTTTTGCTTCAGAACTTACAAATCTGAGGAGCTTACAGATTTGCTGCAGTAGGATTACCGATTTTGGTATTAGCTACCTTAAAGGTAGAGGTTTTGATTATTATACTCCTATTTTCACCATTTGTCTCACATCATCATGGTGTACACTTAGCGCGATTCCACTTGCTTGCTTCAGGGCTAAACAAGCTTAATTTATTGAACTTGGAGGGGTGCCGTCATGTTACTGCTGCATGCTTGGACACACTCACAGGTTTGTATAGGCATCCTTATGGTTGTATGCAAGCTTTGTAGTGTCTTTGAGATGGTCCAGTTAATTGGATGTATGATATGTTTTGGACTATACATCCGGTGAAGTTCTGCCAGATGAACTCATACGAGTCCTTTTTCTTTTGTTTATGTAGCTCTTACAGGGTTGATGTTTTTGAATCTCAATAGATGTAATTTTTCAGACAGCGGGTGTGAAAAGTTTTCTGGTGAGTGTTACCTGACTTCCTCGCAGTTGAACATGGTTGTTTTACTTCTCGAAAAACTCTTCAATAATTTAATTCATGGTTTTTGCAGATTTAATTAATTTGAAGATATTAAACTTGGGCATGAACAGCATTACAAATTCATGCTTGGTCCACCTAAGAGGTTGTCTCACTTTCTTACTATGTCCTATTTCCACTATTTTTTTTGGTTTCATCTCGTTACCATTTCGTGTTGTCTGCTTAACTGCTAATCAAGATAAATTACCTTCTCAGGTTTGACAAAGTTGGAGAGCTTGAATTTGGATTCTTGTAGAATTGGTGATGAAGGACTGGTACATTTATCAGGTGATTTCTACTTGCGTTGTTTTACTGTTATCATGGATATTTGATATTCATATATAGTCATGTGGTTTTAGGTATGCTTGAGTTGAAATCTCTGGAGTTGTCCGATACCGAAGTGGGAAGCAATGGTCTTCGCCATCTCTCTGGTCAACCATTTTCCCTTCCTTTGTCCTTTTCATTTTGTATCTTGTGTGTTTTTTGGTCTTATGCTCACTGCAGGTAATTTATTTGTTATGTTACTATATGTAGGCCTGTCAAACCTAGAGAGCATAAACTTGTCATTTACTGTTGTGACCGATAGCGGTTTAAGGAAATTATCTGGTTTGACATCTCTTCGAACACTGAATCTGGATGCTCGTCATGTTACTGATGCTGGTCTTTCCGCGCTTACAAGTAAGTCATTCCAGTGCGTCCATATACTGTAACTGTCCTTGAGTGTAACCCAAACTGTCCTTTCTGTTTTTGTTCTAGGTTTGACAGGGTTGACTCACCTCGATCTCTTTGGTGCCCGTATCACAGATTCTGGAACAAATCACCTACGAAGTAAGTTCTTAATGTTTATTTTCTATTCCTATCCTTAGTTCTCTGCCTCATATACTCTTTGTTGGTTTTCTTTTGATACAGACCTGAAGAAACTGCAGTCACTTGAAATATGTGGTGGTGGATTAACCGATACTGGTGTCAAGAACATAAAAGATCTTTCATCCCTCACTCTCCTCAATCTATCACAAAACTCCAATCTCACAGACAAAACACTGGAGTTGATTTCCGGTAAAAATACAATTCTTGATTCAATGAGACAAATCATATGTACCTGAAACCTGAACCATGATCTCATAAAACCTGCAGGATTGACCGGATTGGTCTCTCTGAACGTCTCAAACTCTCGAGTATCTAGCTCAGGACTACGTCACCTGAAGCCATTGAAGAACCTGAGATCTCTGACCTTGGAGTCCTGCAAGCTCTCTGCTAACGACATCAGGAAGCTTCAGGCGACTGATCTGCCAAACTTAGTCAACTTCCGTCCTGAATAAAATTATATGTCGAAAAGGCAATTCACGAACTCTGTAAATAGATCGATCTCTTCTGGTCTCAGACAAAGCCACTGCTCTTATATATATATCGTCAAAAGCTATGCTCTTCTTCGGATTATTTGCTGAAGAAACTGTAAATAAAGCTTCATTCCAAGCTATGGTTGGACGAAAGTCTTTGATGGCTCTTCTATGTATGTGGTCAGCTTTTTAGGATCTGTTTGGTTTGTTTATTTACTGAAGTGAACCAACAAAAACTGTCAAAAGAAACAGATCACTCTTGTAAATATTATGTAAATTCGAAACGTCGATTGTATTAAATATTTGAAAATCTTGCACAAAAGAAAATCTATGTGAAGATAAAATCTCAGAAAAGAAAGAGAGAGAAACAACATCAGTCACTGTTTTTATCCAACTTTACTACTGAATTACTGTGAATAATATGTTACATCTAAATGTTAGAATCTTTGGGTCACAAATCTTTCTACCAAAAAATAAAGAAAAGGAAGACTTTTAAAAAGAAGAAAGGGAATCAGAGAGGTAGGTGACTCTCGGATCAGATCATCTCTGAGGCTGATCAGATGCAGAGGCTCCAACGGAAGGTGCAGTGGTTGCACCGCTAGCCGACCCATTCTCAGCCGGTGGAGCAACTCCCCATTTACCTTCAGACTCGAGCGGTTCGAATATGTGCACTCCCCCGTCTGAGAGACCAACTGCAAACATGTTTGGTTCTTGCGGATGTGCCGCAATCACTAGTGGATGTACGTTTGAATTGCTGCACAAGTGAATAAGAGGAGCTTTATGACGTATAAACCACTAACCGATTAATGTATTGAAACATTCTTTCTGAAATTTAAAGATTCCTTTTGAAAATTTCAAGATTCCTGTTTACCTGAGACTAGCTGGTAGATACGCAGAAGGGTTGACCCGGCAACGCAATCTTAGATTTGCAGAGCTAAATACACAAACTGTTGCATCCATAAAACTCGCGTAGACCAATTGGCTATCGCATGAGAATGTGGCATGAGTGATTGGAGCTAATGATTCTCGTACAGCCCACTGAAACAATGCATTCATTAATCATCTTTCAAATGCAATAAATTGCAGATCTTAGAGAGAACGGACTATAAATAAAATACCTGTTTCATGCATTCGAGCTTGGTAGTTTCGTATATAGCGAGCTGCGTCTCGTGCACAACGAGGAAGTGAGCTTGATCTTGATGGAACTGAACGCGCGTATCTGAAGGTGCACTGTTTGGTCTTCCCTGTGGAAGTGGCAAAACCTTGCTTCTCTGCTTTTCCCATCCATCTGTGTTCCAAACACAGAGCTGCAACAAAAACATTTAAAAGACTATTGATCTTCTCTTCTTTGATTCTCAATAAAAAAAAAAAAAATCAGGATGGTCTAAGGCGGGAACCTGTGCATCTGCTCCAGACGAAACCAACACATTTAATACGTTGGAGAAGGCAAGACCAGTTATTCTCTTTGAATGACCTTTAAGTTTACTCTTCACCTGCAGGAGCAAACAAGGAACATGATGGCCATCTATTAACAAACAGAACACTTCATCTTCTTTTCTACATTCTTCTTTGGAGTTTTCGATGCATTACCTCATCAACACGGACGTTATAAATCTGAATCGTGCTATCATCCATTCCGATAGCGATGATATTGTTGTCTTGAGGATGAAAAGCAAGAAAAGTTGCAGCCGGCGGTGGGGGCATGAAAGTCGCCATTGTCTGCAAATTATTAGCCTAGAACAGTCAGTCAAATTGCATACACTGAACATCAAATGGTAAGCATCTGTATGTCCCCATTACCTTAAACGTCATCATGTTAAATAAGGAGATCTTTCCTCCGGAGGCTGACATTACATATGAATCATTCTTGGATAAAGCAAAACAAGGTACAGCTTCCTCGGTAGTATTGGTTTCAGCAACGTCGTTAGTCATGAGGATCCCACTAGCTGGTTGCCACTGCTGAGGCGGTAAAGAAGCTGTCGCCTACACGAATGAATCACGGAAAATCGAGATGTAAATATCAGTGAAACTTATCATTATATGACCAAGAAAGAGAGTCAATTTCACCTTTCCAGTTGCGTTGCGCTCATTCCGCTGCCATTTCCATAGAAGATGAATGGCGTTTGATGCCAAAGCCAAAATTGCGTTTCCCGAATTCGTGAAAATCAATCTTGATATCTGCCAAAAGTCAACGGCTTTATTGTTAGAAAAAAACAGCGATATATATAGCCTATACATACCTCAGAAAATGTATATTTTGTATACCTTGGCGACTCTCAGATTCTCAGGGAGTCTCAGTGACCTGCATTGAGAAGGCTCGCTGACTTCAGTAAGCTTCCATATCTTAGACTTATCATTTGATTCTTCAGTAATCACTGGCTTCACATCCACCATATTCCGCGAATCTCCATTCTATAAAAGGCAAGTGATGAATGATAGAAAGATAAAATAAAATGAGTGAGAGAACAAAAAATAATGGTATTTATTACCATTCCTTGAATGGAAACTACATTGGCTGATCGATCTGCGTGACCAGCACTCGTTGCAGCAGCTGCCGCTGCCGCTGCAATGCTGTTTATTGCAGGCTGCAAATGTAGAATGAAGTGTTGACAAAATCTTTCAATTGGGCGTAAGTAATTTAAAGCTTAGCTTAGATTTTAAGTACCTTGGAGGATTCAGATGATATGTTCTCAAAAGTGTGCAATAGCCTTAGACCATCTGAGTTGGCCATAATCTTGATCACATTCTCGTTTCCAGACACGGCCAAGAGAGAGCCTTCCTTGTTAAACCGGATACGCGGGCTTGCCTAGTTTAATATATTAGAAGCGCAACTTAAGAAGAAACTCCAAAAGAATATCTGAAAACTTTTCTAATTAGGCTTTTTTGTTTATGTACCTGGAGGCCTCCATCGCCATCAATGGCAGTTAAAAGCTGTACAGTGTCCATATCCCAGAACTTGATGGAGAAATCATCACCCGCAGCTAGATAACGGTTTTTAGTTGTATCAAACTGCACAACACCTAGAGAACGCTTGTGGAATCCTTGATAAGTTCTTTTAACAGCTCCTTCGCTTTCATTCCACTCAACAATGAAAGACTCTCCATCTTTACTCGTCCCACAAGAGAATAGCCTAGTACCATCGGCACTATAAGCCATTGTAGTACACCAGCGACCAGGTGCATCATAGTCAACTCGGGAACCCATATTATCATACAACCATGCCTTAATTTTCCCATCAAGAGCTGTTGAAAATATGAACTTGAAGACAGGAAAAATACAACAAATCAAAAAAATGAAACATTTAATAGAAGGGAGGGAGATCAATGGTTAGCTAAGCTTACCTGAATGTTTTCCTTGTAATGAGGACAAACGGAATAAACAGGAGCTTCATGGCCTTCAAAAGTATGCCTTTTGACACCTGTTGCAGCGTCCCAAACCTTGATGGTTTTGTCATCACCACAAGTTATTACACATAGTTGCTTGTTTGGAGTCGAGAAGGAAATATCGTTCACACCACCAACATGAGCATCAATCTGAAATAATCACAATATTACAAGAAAATCCCCAAGGGAAAAGAAGATTGTCAAAAAGAGAGGCTTGTGAATGTTATGAGACCTCAAGGTGTTGCCTCATGTCTTCACCTCCGTGATAAGAGTATAGTTGTACAATATGTCTCGAGTAAGCAACTCCTGCAATTCAGATTGTTTGGTGACTTATAAAGTTGCGTTCATGTGCAGATATGAATTTAAAGGCGAGTTCTTTACCAAACAAGGAACCGTCAGGGCTCCATATCACACGGTTGACAGAAACGACAGGTTCTTTCACCAGAGCAGCCTGAAGATACAACTAATTCAGTCACTGTAGATTCATAACATATATAAAAATTGACATTTAGTTGTTGCTATGCATAGGCACCTGCAAGGGCATTGAACATTTACTCAAATCCCAGACTTTGAAGGTCTTCTGTACTAATCTTTCGCGAGAACCAACTTCCCACAGCCCGATATCACCTACATTTGTACCAACTGGTACAACAATTCAACCGAATTTAGAAAATCGCTTATGATGATTATTATTATTACACAGAAGCACATACAGAGAGCAAGAAATGGACCTAGAAGCAGAGTCTGTTTAATTGGATGGAAATCCATGCTCATGGGAGATGAGCCCTGACTCAAAGTTCGCGCAACTGTCTTGGGCAAGTCATCAGGTGCTTTGAAAGCCGGAGTATGACCATGGGCCTGCCCTGAAAATGACATCGGTAACATGTTCACGCCTAGATTCACCTCGTCAGAAATTCCCATTGGCCTTGTTCGTTTTGAGACATGTTCAGAATCTGCTGACGGGTAGTCTAAAGCAGCATTAGTTGGAGGAGTTCTCGGGTGCTTCAATGCCGCTATATCAAAATCGGAAAGGAGTTCCATTGTAAGCACATTACGTAGATCACACAAAGTGTGTCTGAAGAAACACACATTTGATAAGCAGGTAGTACCTGGGATTGATGGACCACCAAGTGCAATGGCTCCTGCTGAGACAGCTGGATGTGGGACAGAGGATGGACTAGACATCCAACCAGCAAGAGGCGTTGGAACGGGTGACGCCGTAGGTTGAAATGGCTGGAGAAATGACAGTCAAACACTTGGCCTCATGAAAACATAAATACAAATGATAGAAACTAAATTACCCCGTGTGCGCCTAAAGGAGGAAATCCTCCAGCCTTTGGTATTCCTCCAAGCAGTGGATTGTTCACAGGCGATGGAGCCCGTGCACCATTTGGAGGACCACAAGAGTGATCCACAAAAAGAGTCTTTATATCTGGATTTGGCCTTGGATTTTTACAAAGCTGATGCTGCCAATTTAAGCTGCGAGTTATTCAGTAACAAAAGTAGAATGAGTTAATATACCAACAACTTGAAGTGAATAAGACAAAGAGATTAAGGGACAAAGCAATTAACCTCTGGTTGATCAAAGTCCTCAGCCTGGAATTTCTAAGAGTAGGGAACTGCAATTTATCACGGAACAACGGATTCGCCTCGATCAGCTTTTTGAGTTCCACCAACATGATGGCTCTTGCAGACTTGGTGTCCCCATACTTGGACAACTGTTCATTCTCCCTAAAAGTTGATCAAACTCAAAAC